GAGCGTTATAACTGGAAGATCTGTCCATATCTAACGTATAGAAAGACTATGGAGGGATGTCAATTCTGCAGTGCTGGCCAGCTTCGGTGAAACATTCTTTTAAATGGAAAATTCAGGTCTGTTAAATCGGGACTCTGAACTGCATATTTTGTCATTGCATTTTGTGTATGTTCCAAGAATTAACCGAGCTCTACAACATTTTTTTTTATGCTTGGAACAATCCTTATTCCAGTTATTTTCTTTATTTCTTTTTTCTTCATTGGTTGCTTATTGCAATCAAAATTTCTCAAGGTATTTGAACATCAAATAACTTGGCTAGCTACAACATATTTTGTTATTTTTTTTTTTTAATAGAGACGATACAGCATACGAAATACCGAGGGTATGGGACTCACAGATGGGGAGGCTACCGAGCGTCTGTGGGCCTATTTACGCCGTTTTTCCACTATCACAAAAGAGATGACTTCAACAGGGACGATGGACACGTTGCCTAGCGCCTTACTTCACTTTGCCTATCGCAAGCAAGGACAGTTGGGTAATAATCAATTGTTTTTTATATTTCATTATTGGGATGTTCATTTCTTTAGTTATGCTGTTGACATGAGTGTAAAAATGGCAATTTCTAATATCTTTCGGAAGAGGACCTATGATTTTGGTTAAAAATCATACAAGTGTAGATCTCAATTGACACTTGCATACTCCAATTATAACTGGTGCTAAGTTTAAAAGTTTGATTTTCCTATTTCTCTTTTGTATACCTAAGTACTATAAAGATATGTTCTTACTTTGGCTAGATATGTTCTGACTTTGGCTGGATATGGACAATTTTAGGAAAAAAGATGAGTATGACAAAGGTTATAAAAAAGTTATTTTTAATCACACATGTAGTATGTATAATGGGACAACTTTTTTTCTTCAAGTCTACAGGAAGAAGCGATGGATAAGGTGGCGAAGCGACTCATAGATCACCAGGACGTAGCAAGAAGAATTTTATTTTCTATTATAGGTGTGACCGAGACATGGATTAATAACTCATCAATTAATGTCTCTTTACCAGGATATTCATTTTATCAAGAGAATCGAGTTGAAGGCGGAGGAGGAGGAGGTGTCGGATTATTTGGGAGAACAGAGAGTGGGAAGAAAGGCGCGTAGACGTCAGGAGAGAAGGGAGGAGCGTAGACGTCAAGAGGAAAGGGAACATGAGCTTCGTTTGTTTCAAATGATGGGTCAAATGTTACAACAACAACAACAAAAAGTTATCACCACTCCAGCAGGGAGGTCATACATGGATATGTAGATCCATGTAGAACTGTAGCTTAAAGTGTACCGGTACTCTTTCAAGGGTTATGTGTGTGATAATATTTTGGTTGTTAGATTGTATAGGGCATGTAGGCAAAAGAATGTATAAGGCACTAGATAAGGTTAGAAAGACTCACACTGGTAAATTAGAGGACGGGAAGGGGGTCGGGCGGGTGGCGAGTAGGCTAAGAGGGACGGCAGATACATGGTCAATTGGTAGATTGTGTAAGATATATAGGTCAACAATTCGTACAAAGAGTAATAAGGGGGTTCTAGATAGCGGTAATGATAATGATAAGAAAGAAGCAGGAGAGAAGATGCGCAGGGCAATACTGGCCGTTCTCTATCATTCAGTCAAATTGTCTGATAGTGATGTGCGCCATCAGTTCTGTCCTGAAAATGGTTGGTGTGAATACAAAAAGACAGGAAAAGAGAAGATAAACGAGAATCATTTAGACCCTGTGTTTCTCAAGTACATAAGCTGATATTTAAATATTGTTGTTGTCATACAGGTTAGTGAACTTATACATGCATCGGCCCGTCAAGTGCTCATCCATGTATCTGTTGCCTATATTCACGCGACTCAGTGCTCCAGATCTCCTTGAGAGATGCCTCCCAGGTATCACCCAGAACCAGAATGATAGCTTCGATGCTCTCATCTGGAAAAGGTGCCCTAAACACCTGTGGAGAGGTCCACGTGTTGTTCGCACTGCAGTCAACCTTGCAGTCCTTGCGTTCAACTGTGACGCAGGGTCTGGTTGCAACAGAATCTTCAAGAGACTAAATCTCAAAATGGGAATTCATGCCACCATTTGTTTGCAAAGAAAGGATAGGGTTAGGAACTTAGGATAAAGAGGGCAAGAGTTCTATATATGAATTTGAATTGAATTTGTTTAGGCTATTCAAAAACAAATTTAGTTAGGTTTTCATTTATGTGTTCTTTTATATATATATATATATATATATATTTTTTTTTTTTTTTTTTTTTGGGGGGGGGCGTTTTTTTGTTGTTTTAGGGTGACAATTGGTACCTCATAAGACACTGCCACTGCCTACCCGACCGCTCGTACTGCCAGCCTTGTATTCAGAAGGGGTCCCGTAGCATCAACAGAATTCCCTTTTCATTCTTTCATCATTACTAATCAGTGCAATTAATTTAATTTATTAATGACTTTAATCCAATTTTTGCATTGAGGAGCATGTAACTATTATATCTGTAAATATAAAATATGTATATAATTTATCACTTTCTCAGTCTGTTTATTATGCCGTACAGGTGTGTCGTTGACGGATGACTGTGTGCAAAGTGTATTTTTTTTTATTTACTTTGTTTTCTCAGAATGGTGTTTTTGAGTGAGGTGGTGACATTGTGGCCTAAATTTAGGATGAAGGGAAAGGTGTAGAATGCTCAAATCTGGTGTGTAATATATCAGTGATATGTCTGCTACAACTCTATTGATACAGTTTTAGGCTATCTCGCATGGGATTGGTCGAATACAAATTCATGAAAAAGAAAAGGAGGGGATTAATAAAAAAAGAAGCTCCAATACATTGGTTTATACTATATACATCCATAGAACTAACACACAAAGTTTCAAAACAATGAGATGAATTCTCATATACTGGTAGGCGGAAAACCTCTCAATATTAATATACGTTTTAATTCTGATATGATATATGTTAAGGACATTTTGCGCATTGATGGTTCATTTATGTCTTTTGATCAAATCCAACGCCAAATGAATTTTCTGTCTGGTTCATTTATGTTATATTATTCAGTTCTTTCCGCATTACCTAGTAGTTGGAAACGTATTCAAAAACAAGGAAACTTTGAAATGGAAAATGCTTCTCTAAATTGTGTTGATAATTTATTGAACGAATTCCGTAAACCTAAAAAGATATCAAAACTTACGTATAATATTTTCTTTAAAAAAATTTCAGCAAATATCTCAGAAACAAATCAACAGTATTGAGTTGAGCAAATATTGAGCAAATGAGTATTTGTTTAATTTTTTTTTTTTTAATATAAAACAAATAAAAAAATCCTAATGGGTGAACAAAGCTCCACTACCATAAACAATAATTTATTCCAATCTGGACAAAAAAAGCATATTATGGACTGCCAATTTCACATATTTTCTTTATTTTTCCAATATAATTGATGCCTTATGTTTATCAAAAAGCTAAAGATAACTTGCAAAAAATGTGTAATTGTTAATATCAGGTGGAAAGAAAGGTTTACAAAAATAATGAATCAAGCTTCTTTTCATTAACACATGTCAACACTCTCTGCAAACTCTAACTTAGTCACTGTTTTCAGAGCATTAAATTGAACTGCATTACACAACTGATTCCAATTAAATAAAACCAATGAATATTCATTGGTATCCTTTATTTGTCCATCAATATATGTTACATGTACATGTATACTGTATCAAAATTCAAATACATATATATTGATTAATTCAATGAATTAATGTAAGTTTATACATGACACTTGTTATCTGAATCGTATAAGTTTATACATGACACTTGTTCTCTAAAGCGTATAAGTTTATACATGACACTTGTTCTCTGAATCGTATAAATTTATACATGACACTTGTTCTCTAAAGCGTATAAGTTTATACATGACACTTGTTCTCTAAAGCGTAAGTGGGGGGGGGGGGGGCGGATCATGCAAAAAAGCACAATCTTATAGTCATTTTCGCGTTTTTGCACACGTCTACTGAAAAAAGTGGGGGGCTGCAGCCCCCCTTAATCCCCGCGGCTCCGCGGCCCCTGCCATTCGATAACTTTAGTAATGTTTGTCAGATAATCCCCTTGCGGAGGAAATCTGAGGGGAAATAGTAACGCTACTGTCCGTCCTTCCGTCCGCCTGTAACAAATCTTGTGAACACGTACTGGTTTCCGTTTGATAATTTAAAATGTTTGACAGATTTTCATGAAATTTGATATGAAGGTACATGCATGGTATCAAATACAGCCTAAATTTGATTTTGGAATAATGTACATTAGGTCAAAGGTCAAATGTCTTGGGTTATTCCGTAAAGTAGTAAACTTTCTTTTCATTCAATCCCCAGATGTCAGTAACTTAATTCCGTCTAATGGACGTACATGTAACTTGTTCTGATGTATTATGCCGTTTGTTTCCAGCGAGGGCTTGCTACGCTTTGCGTTGTCCTTGTGTTGTATTTTTTGTTCTGATGTGATGTGCAGAGAGTGTTTTTTATACAAAGTACTTTTTTTTCTAAATGGCCAATGTTGGTTAAACATGGAACTTACATGTAGGAAAGTATACCTAACAAACTGAAAGTTTCCCCACTAAGTCATACATACATGGTCACATTGCCAATGGGAGGGTCTCCATACTTGTATATACTTTTAAAAACTCATATTTGTTTGATTTTTCTACATTCATCCAAACCAAATTTCTATGAAAGATTCAATTTCCCTTTAAGCTTTAAGCTGACATTAACCATCTTAGATTAGATTAGATTTTTTAAAGAGATATTTAAAAGAGGATTAACCTAGCTAGACTATGTACTGGGCGACATTCAAAGTTAGTCTTATACCTTTTGACATAGCGATTGACAATGTATTTCTGTAAATCAGCATATTGTATTATGAAAGTTTATGAATTCTTGAAAGAAAGAAAGTATTCTGAATTCTCAACAAAAACCAAACAAAATAAAAAAGTCTCCAAAAAAAATTTTCTTCAGAATTTCAGGATTCTCAAAAAACAAAAAAAACAAACACATCTAGAATTCTCTAAAGAATGTTTTTTTTAATTCCCTTTTTGGAGAAATCTGAAATTCATGAATGGGAGGGGGGTTTGTATTTAGGAGTCTATTTACTATAATAAATAGTGAATGTTCTATCATGTACACTATAAATACTGGACTATGAACTCCAAATACTAAATTATCCCTCGTGCAGGTTTATTTTGACTCAGGATAATTTAGTAATTTAGTCGGACATATAATTCATTATTGTATGATAGAGTATACACTATTTATATAATAGTTCACGACTTACTTATGCAGATGGTCCTTACAAGGGTGCTATAGGTTATACTGGCTTTAAACGGGACAGAAACAGAACTGTATACATAATTGAGTCCTGAAATCGTACCGGTGGTACTCGAACTGTCCAGGCTCCTAACCTAGAATGCAGCATCCTGATAATGTAGTCTTATAATATATGCACACTTAAATGATTACAAATTTTTCCTCTATTCTTTATGACATTCATACCACAAATATGTTACCAAACTTGTAACAAATTAGTACAATGCCCTTCCATACATTCCTGTTTTCCATTATAAATCCAATTATACAGGTATAATTTATACTGAAATGTACAATGTATTGTAAAGGTATCAAGACTAGCTTTATGCCATATTACTGGACTACCCACCTAGTGCTAGCCAACCTGAGAGGATGGTGCACCATTAAAAGTTTCAATCACTGATGACATGGAATATCTCATATTGGCAACGCAGTCACTTTTTGTGATGTCATACAAGGAGAACTCTCCCACATGTACAAAAATATGTGAATTTCATTTTTTTCCTCAGTCAATTCATAGAACAGAATTTTTGTCCAAGTCCTCCTATAAAAGAGGTGATTTTAGTGCAATATCTGCAAAAGAAATTGGAAAGTTTTTCATGTATGATCTCCATATTAAACATTAGTAATCATAACTTTTTTTTAAATTCACGTCTTTACTCATTAATTGACTGTTTTTGCTTCAACTTAATTTCACTGACATTTATGTTACTTTAATTTTTCTGCATTCTTACAATTCAATTGTCTCTGAGGAGTTTATTCTCCTTTATAACGAGGGCAGAATCTAAACTCTACCGCAGTGCAAACTGTTGAAAGTTATACATCCCATACTTGTATCGCAATTGTATTAATGAAAATTCATCTAATTAATGAGAGTGCAAAATATAGGTTGTTTCTCTAAACATAGAGGTATATAGTCTGTACTGTTTGTACATTTCGGAGGAAATCGACTTACTAAAAGTTTCTGAATGTCCTGTGCATGCACATTTGTTGTATGTTACATGACACGATCATCAGGCAGACTACAACTTCACTCTTGATTTCTCAAGGGGAATTGTAATTTGTATATTATGCAAAACATATCTACCCTAGCTACATGTACATGTACAACAAAGAAATATGAGTAAAAATTGGCATTCAAGGAAAAAGGGATCTTTTTTTGCATGTTCCCCCGCCAAAAGAAGTTTGAAGGGGGTATACATGTACATAGGAATTGGCGTACGGTCGGGTTGTCGGGCGGTCAGTCGGTCAGTCTGTTGCAAATCTTGTGGATCGAACTACTTCCTCATTTTTTGAGCAATGATCATGAAACTTGGCACACATATTGGTCTTAGGATGGAGATGTGCAAGACATACTTTTTTACTGTGTTGGATACTGCGTTGCCATGGGAACGGCATATTATTGTAATATATCGGGGGAAAATCTCGTGGATCGAACTATATACATGTATACTTCCTCATTTTTTTGAGCAATGCTCATGAAACTCGGCACACATATTGGTCTCCAGTTGATTATGTACAAGACATTTTTTTTAATGTGTCGGAAAGTGCGTTGCATTGGTAATGGTCTGTTATTGCAATAAATCTGTAAAATCTTGCAGATCAAACCACTTCTTCATTTTTCGAGCAATGCTCATTAAATTTCGCACAAATATTGGTCTTGAGTTGATTATGTGCAAGACACATTTTTTAATGTGTCGGAAAGTGTGTTGCCATGGTAATGGTCTATTATTGCAATAAATCTGTAAAATCTTGTATATATCAAACCACTTCTTCATTTTTCGTGCACACACATGGGGAGTGAGTATTAATCACTTTCGGTGATATTTCTAGTTCTAGGCAAACATGTAGAACATTCAACTGTATCCCTTATAATCTTTGTGTGAGGTTGTCAAAGCAAAATGAATATAATTTCATTAAGCAGCTTATATTAATGCCTGTATTTGTCCGATTTACTTTCTTCCCAGGTCTGTTTTAGTAATGGTCTTTCTACACAGGCAAAGTTTTGCCAAATGAGTGTCACAAACATGGCAAAGACTTTGAAAAAAACGGAGAACAGCCTGACCGATGTTTTGTCAGTGATGGCGATCGTTAATGACGACATGATCTATTCATTTCCGTCATCAGAGGAAGAACTCCTTCCTTCTCAATCTTACACACAATCGAGGCAAAAACGTAGCAGTTCTGGATCTAGCAGCGACGGAACTCCACCAGAACGTAAGAGACGAAACAAGACTTCTGAACATTCGGCGGAGAATTCAGATGCAGCAATTGAACAAAAATGTCAAGGTTAGTTTGTGTTCCATTCTTTTACAAAATTCATTTCACTAATAATTCCAGACGTACAACATTTCTCTCTACATGATATCACTAAGTTTAAATGTGATGTTATTGATTGGCAGTTTTTAAATCAAAGAGAAATGCAAATATCATGGAGAGAATGTGTACAAAATAGTTTATCAATATAACAGCACTGAAAGCCTGATAAAATTGGGACATTCCACTTTTATTATTTGATTTTGTATAACTTCAAACAATTTTTAAATGGACTCCTATACAAATACCACAAATATTTCCATTTTTTTCATCAAAACTACAATCTCCTTTTTCTTATTGTTTATGAAGTACATGTTTGGGGCCAAATTGATTATTTAATGCCCCTCTGCAATAGCCACAGGGAAGGTAAAATGGCCAACTGCTGATTAAAACCAAAATAAAGTTGAAAAATGATTAATTGCCAATTCCCCAAAACAATGTTCATATGTTGCATTTTCCACATAAGGCAAAATGAGATTGAATTGAAAAGGGCTATAGGAATATTTTTTGTATAGCTCTAGGACAAAATTTCCCTGATGAGCCTCTGTGTGTTTTGATCCAGTTACTAATAATATGTATCAGGGCCCGTTGCATAAAGACTTACTATTATGGTAACTACCATAGAAACCTTGATTTCGATTGGCTGCTGAGCCCGGTTACCATGGTAGTTACCATAATGGCAAAGTTACCATAATAGTAAGTCTTTATGCAACGGGCCCCTGGTGTCATTTTCAAAATGTAGATTGTTCTCTGCACAGGGGATATTATTTATAAACATTAAAGATTTAAATGTCACAATCTTTGAAAATGTGTCATTGACCTGAAATTTTATTTCTTTACATGTAGGCATTTCTGAAATCTCCCTCAAAAAACTTGTGGAGCCCGAGAAGGATCTCCAGAGACCACGTACCAGGAAGGAAGTGATGGAGGCCAAACAGTTCGTGATGAAGGCAGCAACCCACTTCCAGAGCTCCCATGTCCTTCCAGTCCTCGCAGTAGATGGCCCTTCTGGAACAGCTTACCAGCTCCTAGGAGGGGTGTGCTATGCTCTTGCAGCTAAGGATCTTGTTGACGATGAAAGGTATTTTATTCTATAAAAGTTACCCGTTTTTGCAATTGCTTTTTAATGTTATTTTTGTTTCTTTTTGTAGTTACAGTGTATGAGACAAAGGTTAAATTTTTAAAGGGATTATGTGATGTACTTACCGATATTATATGTACAGAACATATTCATTTATCACTTGTCTTTTTTTTTCTCCATTTATTATGCAGTCCACAAATATGTAGTGGAAGCATGTAACATAAAAGAAATGCTACCCAGGTAGTCAATGTACCATTTGGGAAGAAAAATGGTAATAGAGAGGTGTTCCATTTATAGTTATACAATGAAGGGTATATTAAGGACAATACAAAATATTTTTAGATCCCTGACTCAAATAAAATCCCATAGAATATTTCCCTTGTGTACCATGTTCATATTTGTTTTCTTAAAAAGTGTGTGACTGCATGGAAAGGTATACCGTGTAAGCTTTTTTCCAATATTTTATTCTGCATGATACATATATACACCATGTTTCTATATCCTACCCATCTCAATATCCTATAACCAATATACTTTTTCTGATTGCTTTAGATATGAACATCTATCTCGTGGATGGCGCTGCAGGGTGTACCAAAACCTGGACAAGGTTGAGGCATTGAGAGTGGCATCACTGCATAGGTGTGGGCAACCTGCTGTAGACAAGCCGTGCTTGCAGGAGGAGGTTGCTGTCTGCAGGTCAATTCTATACGATGACAACAACCTTGATGTGGAGGATGAGCCCTGCACTATGACTGCCTCGACAAGACGCAAGTGTTCCCTAGCCCTTGGGAAAAATGGCTCCTTCAATGTAAGTCTAAACACTAGAGCTGACATTTTCATCTGACATTTTCATCTAGATAAAATGCTGAATTCATTCAATGTTCTATTTTTACTTGTAGCGAAGTAGGTTTTTTTTTTAATGAAACGATGAATCGGACATTAAATTAGATTTATGTTCAGCATAAAAACTCATGAACATCACCCAACCCCCCAATAAAAAGGTTATTGTTATATTCAGCCAACTTACATGTACATGACAAAATGGAGTTTAATCAATGATTGATTTGAGATGATCGAGCTTTCAAGAGTGACTGTTGGAAACATAAATTTTAGCCAAAAAGTTCTAACATTTCTTATATTTTAACTTGAGGGGTCATATTACAATATGGTGAATTATGTAATGCAATGGTGATTGCAGTGAATGAATTGGAATGTTCAGAATCAAACTGGTTATGAGAGCATATATTATCCATTTCTTTTTTTGTTGTAATTTACAGGCACTGAGGGCTCTCGAGCCAACTTTCCAGTTGGCTAGTTATTCAAACAGATGCTACAGGAAAGCCACTCTCCTTTTCGATGCAACTAGAGAATCTACTGGAAAGGATTTGAAACAATGTGTAAGTAAGCTTTAAATTTTTTTTTTTTTTTTTTTACACATTTAAATATCATCTTGAGTAATGAAGGAAAGCATTTTTTTTCTTCATAGAATCGAACAAAACTTGACTTGCGAATGTTCAAAACACCAAATAAATTATAACTTTTTGGTAGAAAATGTATATTATTGCTGAGTAATGAGCTATATGAAAAATACAAAAATTGAGCTGGACTGGATGTCACACATACCACATGTTTTCTGTGCAAATGAGAATTGTGGTTTATTCAGCCGCTATAAGGAGTTTATCAAATCATCACAACCAAAGTAAATAAAGTAATATAGCGCCACCATTGGCGGATACCCTATTCTGACTGGAGGGGGGGGGGGGGGGGGGGGGGGGGTTCAATTTCCTGTTCAAAATCTGTGACTGATGCGCAATGGCTGCAAATAGCGACACGGCTTCCGGTGACTTTTTCTGACTTTTTTTGTTTGTCTCGCAACTTTTGAGACCGAGTTCTAAAAATTAACAATAAAATCAACTTTTTGCATAGGTACGTTCGTGTACAAAATACTGCTTTTCCTAAATTGCTTTACAACACTGTTAATTGTGCCTTCTAGTCTTTTTGCCTGACCATACTTGTCTTGAAACTTTTCAAGATACACTTTTGAAACATGAAAAAATCACATATATAAATGAAAACAATAGATACATAAGTAGTTTATGAAACAATAGAATACAAAAGAATTGATCGGAAATTTCATTATTTATTATTTCAGTATTGTTGCCTATGCTATTCAGCAACTTTAAAAAAGAGATTGAGCTTCATAACTTAATGAAATATTAATGAATATGTTAAAATAGGTATCTAATTTGCATAAATTATAATAAAGTAACAAATTTGTGATAAAAACAAATCTGTATTGACGTCCTTGCAATATTTCGCATTAAGCTTGCACTCAAAGTGAGAATAGGGTTAAAGCAATAGTTTTTTACATATTCAAATCAAACAATAGATGAATTGGGGATTCTTTGCAGAAGAATTGACTTTGATTGAAAAAGTTGATAGTTCATATATATGCAAATAAAATTTGTCTTCTGACAGTGAGCAACAATACTTCACGTGCACTAATAACTACTCTTATTATTTTCATTTGTCTTATTTTATAGTGTTTCATGAAGCTACAAGGACTCTCAGAAGAGGAGCGATATTCACTTCTTCTGGAGGCGACCTTGTCTTTGAATGTTAAAAAGATGAAGGCGGATGCCGATGAACTGAAGGCAATGAAGAGTCTGAAGAGCGTGTTTGCGAAGGGAGTTGGGGCTAAGACGTGGGAAGAGGCGATAGAAAGATACCCAACCTTCACTTCAGAAGCAGCCCTGGAACCCTATGTTGGTATGCACAAATCATGGCTTCGTATAATGTCTATTGAAGAGAATATTGAGCCCCAGCAAGATATACAATAATTGCTATCCTGTATCTCCATCAATCCAAATTTTAAAGTTTAGATGAACTAGTAGGGTTGACTATTCTGACTGGGGGGGGGGGGGGTCAATTTGGCCCCTGCCTCCCCCGTACACAATCCAGGACTGCCACGTAACCGCTACAAATCACAACCTGGCTTTCAATGACTTTATTGTCTCGCAACTTTTGAGACCAAATTTGCCCCAAAATTGGGACAGTCCATGCTAGAGGTTATGCAACATTACTTAACCACACGTCTAGCCACAATTGACATTTTGCATAGTACGTTTGTGTACAAAATACTGCCTTTTCTAAATTGTTCTATAAAACATGTCAAGTTCAAATGTGGGTCAAAGGCAACAGGTCAAAAGGAAAACAGACTTTCCTTGGGATTCCATTATTGCTAAAGAGTAAACTACCAGAACCCAAAATTCACCTCCTGATCTGCTTATAGGGCCTAAGATGCAGGCAAGACAACGCTTGGCGTTTGCCTTGTTTAATGATATATTATTGAATGTGTTAAAATAGGAATTTAATTTGCATGAATTATAATAAAGTAATAAATGAGTGATTTTTGTAAAAAACAAACATCAAAGCAACATTTCTTTGCATGTGCATTGCTGTCCATGCAAAATTTCCCATCAATCAGACCTTCTGTGGCCAAGATATTGTGGGGGGAGGGGGGGGGGGGGGGGTCAAATTGACTCCGGAGCTCTATGATCAATGTATATGTATTTTTTTTCAGGTAAAAAGTATACAAAAGGTAACATCCCAGAGGTCTTCCTGGAGCACATCAGCAGGGCCAAGAGAGACATGGACATGAATGCAGACGACATCCCAGCCCTTATGATACAAGAACTAGAAGAGGTATTGTCCCATATTCTTAAGGTTCCAAAGCACTTATTTGTAGGCACTTGGTAATTGAAAGAGGTAAACTGAATTTCACATAAAACAAATCTCAAAATTGTGAGTTTAAAATATCTCAAAGTTGTAATATTGTAATCTATAAGGAACTCAAGGTTAAGGGATTTACATGGAGAATGATCTTATGCTGATGAAAAATCATTGGTAATTTGTCATTGATAACAAAAAACAAACAATTATATTCATGGCATAGAAATTGCAATTTTCCCACAAGTCATATATTACGTACAATGGCACTTTCGCCCAGACGACTGGCATGGAAAACTGCACCCACATGCTATTTCATCCTATTTTCAAATTTGATTTTTCTATTTTGATTCAACATAGCAAATGTTAAGCTGCAGATAATTATGAAAAGGGTATAAATAAAAAAAAACAGTTTCCAGAACTTTGCATTGTGTATATTATCTGGGCTCAACATATTAGAATTATAGTTAATTTGTATGTTCTTTCCTTTTTATTTGAATTTCTGATATTACAGGATATCCAGTTATCCTCAACACCATCGGCTACTACCAGAATCTTCCTGACAAAGGACATCACAGCGATATCCAAAGTGGTCAGCCAACATACCCGACACGATGTGCATATATTGCATATTGTCCAGTCCCCAGTAGGAGATATTCAAGGTAACTATATGCATGTTCCATGTCTTTTATTAAATATCTTATGAAGCTGACTGTTATTTCGGTATTCAAAGCAACATAACAAACGTTTTTGTGGTTGTGTAATAATGAGATAGCTGCAGTGTGTGTTAAAAAAATATAAATTATTAAGAAAGAATGTTACCGTATAACTTCCAGTGTGTTAGATTGGCTGCTCGATCTGAATGAAAATTCTTTCTTAAGAAATCCTCCTATGAAGCTCAACATTCATATAAATTTTTGTTTATATCACTTGGATTTTAAATATAATCTTGAGTTCTGGTAATGACAGAAATTAACTTCTGACAGAATCCAATGACATTTACAATGAATGTTCAAAACTTCAAAAAATAATGATTACTGAATGCTTTTGGGGGAAAAAAAACATATAATAGCTGACTAATGCTGAACAAATGAAGATAAGATGCTTGCCATGTGATCTCAAACACATTACCTCCAAAGCAAGCTAATTATATTAATTAGACAACTGCGGAGTAATTGTGAAACAAATGCATTTCTAATGTCTGGGTTTTTATTCCTAAAGAAAAAGGTGCATTCAGAACTCAAAAAATCACATTGTATCTGTTTGAAAAGAAATTGTGCCTCATGTGAAAAATCACATGTATGTATATTCGTTTTACTTCTATAGGAAATTAAGGCTTATTCATACTGTTCTAAGTAGCCATATAAAATGTGCATATATATTTTATCAACAGATGTCAACCATAATGTCTGTATGCAGTATGGTATTGTCGAGTCTAGGAGGAGGGGTGCTGGCACTAGCCAACTCTACATGCCATCAAGATCAGACTTCTACAAATATGCAGTGGAGCATTTCACTTCTATTGATGAAGTGGTTCTTGACGTTGGAGACGGTAAGACATTTTATCTATATACAGATCCAATTAAATTATGATACAGTTTTAGAATAAATGGGTAGATTAAATATATAGAGATACCAATAAATTAACATGAATACAAAAATAAAATAAAATGTAAGGAAAGGAAAGTTGTGAAATAACGTCCAAATTGTGTAAATTCAAATTGGCTTTTTTCAATTCAAGTATATTTACCTATTTTTCACTATCCATAAATTCTAGACGCATAATAACTGACATTAATAGCATCAAAGTTGCCCAGTGTTGCACAACAAAGATTTTAGTCACGAGACTTGGGGTCGTGCAAAATCATGGTCAATATCAATAAGCAACCCTGTGCCTTGTCGGAAATTTGTGTTAACCCTAACTTTACCGGAAAGGTCTCAGATGGCGCCCCCCCCCCCCAGACAAATTTTGTTGTCAAACCCATTGCATTTTCAGCAATAGCTAGCGCTTCATGATTTTTTTTTCAAGTGTTATAAATCTTATGACACTGAGGTGTTGAAAATCAGACCTTTCATGATAAAAGGTCGAGCCGATTTTTTTTTTTTTTTTTTTTTTTTTTTTTCTTCCAGTTTTCCAGTAGAATGCAAAAAAAAAAAATGTTCATAAAACATTGAAATACATAAGAATTGAAAAATATGCAAAAAAAAGGCATATAAAAACTGTTTGAGAAGAAATGAACTGTGTAAAAGCTTAAAGACTTAAGATGACATTGTGAGCATATAATTTAAAAAAAATCCAAGTCAAGAGAGATATAGAGAGCTTTATATCTTCTCAAAAACTCTGAAACCAAAAACAATTTGGAATGAAACATTTTAGATAGGTTACAAACAGAGATTTTTTATATATATTCTCACCAGGAGAGAAATTAAAACGGTGGTTATTAGAACCGATCGTTAGATATATTGTTTTTAAACAATGGCTCACATATTCACTATTTAAAAATACTTTCCATAGATATTAAAATTTGAGACATTCAGATTGGTCTATTTAAACTATAACTCATATGTGTATACCATTTTCGAGAAATAAAATCAGATTTTAAAAATTCTAACAAGAAAATTGAAACGTCAGTGCCAAATTTGGTTACTTAAGGGGTAGGCTCTGAGGCCCCCCCCCCCCTCCAGTCTTACAAATTTCAAAATAGCCCCATTCAGTAAGGGTTTATGCTTTTTTTCTTTTTTCTTTTTTATTGATAATGTAAAAGTATTATTTTAGTAAGACAACCAAAAATTTAAAAAAGGGGGTTTATCATTTAAGTAGAAATGTATTGATAAAGAGATGTTGAGCAAATTTAACTCGAAAACCAGCTTTGAAAATCAAAGACAGACTGAACTTTACTAAAGCATTCCATATTGAACTTACCAAAGTAAAATACAAAAATGAACAATATGTAATGCATTTGGTATGGAATTAGGTGCTCGTTTGCTGTGGTTAAAGCACTTTACCTAGTGTTGCGTCTAATAACTTGGTTCTTCACAAGCTTCACCAGACAAACAAAATTAAATATTCTTTTCTCTATTATATTTTCAGGACTGCTGGCAAGGGTTGCAGCAGAATGTGGACGAAATGGGAGGATGGTAGAGGAGACAACACTGTCCAGCACAGAAATAGAGGCCATGATGGGTGCTGCAGACTCGGAGGAGATTCTAGATGCAGATCTAGTATTAAGCATGGACCAGACGTGTTCTATACCTTAGTGCATTTTGTTTCTCTCATTTCCTCACCTCGATCACTACCTCATTTAGTTCTGAAAAATATTGTTAAGATATGTGACAAACTAACGTTTTTATGTAAATATTTTTATACAGATATGGCTGGTAGGGTGTTTATATATCATTCTTTTGGCCGCTGGAGTTGTATTTTCATGAGGGAAAATAAAACTCCTTTAGGTAGGCTAAAGAATATGTATTACATACATAACAGGAAATATCTATTATAATATTAGATAACCTTGATTAAGACCAAGTCATGGTTTTTACATGAAAGTCTGAACACGAACAGTTTAATAGAGTCTGATCTACAGTAGATATCCATTGTCTTCGCCTTTCTTCTCTGTGCTTAGCTGTTATGACGAATATTGTTGATACATGAATACATTGTCTTAGCTCAAGCGCGTATGCTCCTACTGTTATCGTTGACCAGCTGGTCAATATAACCATCCAGATGACCGGGCGTGAACTGTTAACAATAAATTGCAGTCCCCATATCACTTGACATGCTGTGGACCAATCACACCTTAGCAACTCTCTGAGCTATCTAATACAAGTATTTAAGTCTATGTGTAGATGTGTTTTTAGTTTAGTAGATAGGTGGCTGGACTACCGATCATTAGGTACATGTATGTGGTTCAAATCTCGGCCACTTCACTAAGGTCTAGCTTTGGCAAGACCTTAACATACATTTACTACACTCAAACTATGTTGTACCAAAATATGTAGCCTAGTTAAGGTCAGGTAACATACATGCAGGAGCACCTTGCTATATAGATGAGCGCTATACTAGAGTGCAATATTATTATTATTATCTTTTATTAGAGCATATTTTTGTCTTGCCAAGTGAACTTGATTACTTTGAAGGTAATTTCAAAGGCACAGGGTTGGTGAACGTGACTCGTCACCTTATTTATTTTTCTAAAGCATCAACACAAAAACCCACATATTATTATTTTATCAAGGATAAAAACTCGGGTCACAACTATTGGGCCCTTGATTTTGTTACCATCTTGTCAAAATGAAACACTCGATCTAACTCATTTCCAAGCATCAGAAGACGGTTGTTGATATCAATGATGTAGTTGGAAGATCATATACTTCAAAGTTATAATCAAGGAATTATCAGAGCTGGAGTCCAAACTGAGGATAATTTATGCAAACATCTGGCAGATTCCAAAGGATAGTCAATAGAATTATTAAACTGCCTTGGTTCTTTGATATTTGATGCGCGATGCCACCAAAGTAAAAGAAAACATTTTAGAGAGGATGTGAACTTTGTGGGTTTTTGTTTGCACAGTTGATTTATTATATCAATAAACATAGAAAACAAATAGGCAATTGTTTAGTAATTATGTACGATGCCACTCTGAAAATCCCATTCCTCAACAAGCAAGATTTCTTGAGATATTGCCTTAAGAGTGTAATAAATATGTACTGCTTCAAGTACAATATTGATCCCTTGCTGATTGCTTTTCTGATTTTCATATTTTATATGGTACTATCAAGAAAATATTTCTATTAAATTAAATCAACCAGAGTAAAGTCCACATGTGTCCACTCATGGAATTAGCAACTTTAAATCTTGTATTTTTGGACGTGTATCTGTTTGCTTACACCTGGTTATACCATTCATGAGCACTTTCTGTGTAACCAATTATCATTATATTGAATACCTTTAATTGCATATGTGCATCCTCTGTAGCAATACTGGCCGCGGGTGTTTCATCGTTAGTTCTTTTGAATCAATGTGCATGTATTCGGAGAGCGCATATATATTTGTCGTGGTTGTTGTGGCATTGAGCCTACTTCAGAGGAAATTGTTAAGCTTTTACTCCAGCTGTAATTACTCCTTGTTATTATATTAAAGTTTCACATCACTTTAAGAGGGTCAATTTGTAGGATCACTGTGTAAGTTTATACGTATGTTTATATGTATAAGTTTATACATGGCACGCACCCTCCAAATCCATGTATAAACTTATACGTTTTGGATGGTCTGTACGATGTATAAATTTATACGTTTTGGATGGTCTGTACGATGTATAAATTTATACGTTTTGGATGGTCTGTACGATGTATAAACTTATATGTTTTGGATGGTCAGTACAATGTATAAATTTATACGTTTTGGATGGTCTGTACGATGTATAAATTTATATGTTTTTGGATGGTCTGTACGATGTATAAACTTATACGTTTTTAAAGGGTCCATGTCATGTATAAAGTTATACGTCAGAACAAACAGCATGATATACATTTGTATATTTTGCAAGTTGTGTTATTTATAAAAGTGATTGACAACCTATTTTGTGTAAATAATTATTTATTTGTTATCAGTTCATTTATTTGTATTGCCAAATAAAGAAACATGGATTACATTTCAACTGCAAAAAGCATCATTAATTAATTATTTAAGTGTATTGTGTTAATGTTTGTATAAATGCGATGTCTTTCTACTACTGCATGAGAAAGAGAGAATTTACTTTTAGTGATTTCATAAATACTTTAATGAGGAAAGCGAAGGAGTGAAAATGAGAAAGTTAAATATACAGCGAAAATGTCATATAAAGTGTGATGGAGGTGATAGTTGGCTATACCATGAGAAAAGCAAAGCAGTGGAGGCTATAAGCCCTATAAAAAAAAAATTATAAGGATTTGGCATGTAATTTGATTTGAATCTGGATTACCCAAGTCCAGATTGAAATAATTCTCTGTTCATATTGTTCGTCGCGGAAATGCATAGGGTGGGGCCGTGTTCATGAGTATACTAGTATAGTCGTGATACAGGCCCCAAGTCCGTGTTGTAGAACATGCATGTCTAATTTAATCAATACCTTCTATAAACTTGTTTATAATGCTCATGAAACTTTAAATTACTCATTTATTTTTTGAAATCATCAGGTCGAGCAGGACTACAAAGAACTTTTCCCAGAGAAAAGTGAACGTATGTATCGCAAGTGGGTGGTGCTTTCTGTGTGCCTTTTGAGTTATGCAGACAGTGTAGCACCAGGATGGAAAGGGAAAATGGAACTGAACACAGAAGAGATCAGGCATGCATCAGAGCTTGTCTTCATGGTTGCCTCTTCGAACATGAACCGATACGGATGCAGTGTTTTTTCTTTAATGATTGAGTTGTTTTTGCTTATTTTTTTACTCATTCCTTATAGGTAAACAGACAGTATGATTGTTTTAAGAATGCATACCTACAACACATTTGGCATGAAGTAGATGTCTTGTGTAAGCCTACGAATAAATCAGCTTCATTATGCCTTACAGTTACTCTCTTCTTTTTTCCCAGAAGGCATCGCCCGAGCAGAAGAGATAGATTTTCATTCGGAAATGTTTGAAGGATCTGTGCGGGACATGGTGCAGGACATTGTTGAAATCATTAGTTCTGCAGAGGACAAGGCAGCAGGACCGGTGGCCAATACAATCATCCTGACCAAATTCCAGACCAACATGTGTGGAGGGAGAGCCACTCAACTACATATGCCTTGCAATGCTGCCTATAGAGGAGCAGTTCATTCCCTTTCATTTTCTCCAGCAGTATGTTCTCCGTGTCGTTCTTGAGAAGCTGATGAAACTTATCAGGGGGGACGGGTTTGTACCGGAGGAGGAGACGAGTCCGTTGTCGATGAACAATACAAATTTTACGATATGTAGCCGGATACATACCGTACGCCCTCCTTTGAAGGAAGGTTGTTCCAAGAAAGGCACTTTGTTTTCATTTTCTTTATAGTGTTTGCCATTAACAAACTCAACCTGCAAGCTGACCCGGGCAATTAATAACAAACTGTGCACTGCTCGGAGGACAGTGAAGAACAGGGCTGCAACCAGCTAGGCAATGCTGGAAAGTTTCTGTCAGTACATGTATGTGTGTATGTAAAGGTGTATTGGTATTTTTTGTTTTTGTTTTCTTTATAGTGTTTGCCATCAACAAACTGAACCTGAGAGGAGAGAAGCTGACCCGGGCAATTAATAACAAACTATGCACTGCTCGGAGGACAGTGAAGAACAGGACTGCAACCAGCTAGGCAATGCTGGGAAGTTCTGTCAGTATGTGTGTATGTAAAGGTTTTAGGTAAGTTGTTTATAGTGCCAAACAATGACCTGGCCATAGATAAAGGGTTTTATTTTTTATCTGTAAAGGTTTTTGTGTGACTTATGTTTCTGCCAAAAACATTTTGTTCTATGCCAACTTACAACACTTAGAGTCAAATCAGCCCAACGGCGCATATTTCAATCATTACTTTGCCATTTCGCCAGATTTGTCTTCCTTTAAAACCCAAAGTATGAGGATAATGTATAGATTTACACCAGGAAAGAAGAATTTTAAGAGTATTCCAGAGCAAGAATTTAACAAAATGAGGAAGGATCAAAGCAAAATTTAGCAAGTTTAATAGTGCTCAGCTCAAACAGTAGTCCCACACTATTATGTGCTGGGAAATAGTCGGTCTGCAACTTTCAAGCTTACAACTTCCGAAGAGGGGGCAAAAAAAAGTCTTCAATAAAGAAGAAATGAAAGATCACCTGATAGAGATCGTGGAAGCCAATACATTGGAGTCTAATGATCCTCATACTCTTCAGCAACAGGCTAGAACAACATGACTAAGATCAACAAGGACTTTCACTGAGGCTAAAGAGAGGAATGCTAAGTTTCGTGACATGAAGAACGTAGAGCTGTTTCAAAAGATGTCTGCAGAAAGGATGAAGCAAGCGCTGAAACAGTCTAAAGAATTACTTGAACCACTCCTCAATAATCCTGAATTATTGGTAGGGAAAACCATCATTTGATACTTGTTATGAAACAAGTATAGGTGGGCTGCATGAAATTGTTTTAACTACTCTGTTTTCACATAGGTTGCCCTTTCACCAACAGTCAAGGTGCCCAAAAAAGGCTGTCTACTTGCAACCAACGGGACTTTGGCAAGTTCACCAACGACATACTGGTGGTACTCTTCGGGAGGGAGGAGCTCTACATGTACAAGTTCTCCCTAACTAGTGGACACAATACACATGGGGAGACCAAATATGCTACCTGGAAGGTCTAGTAAACCATGAAAGAAGCGCTCATTCTGGGATGAGGGCAGCATCTGAAGAAGCCTCTGGGCCTCAGCAACAAGAAAAGCATGACGAACAATTGGCATATTGTTCGAGTGACTGATGAGACAGTCATGGACGACATGGATTTGCACAATTTAGAAGAGGAGCATTGAACATGTACATGTACGTCAAGACATCTCACACATGACAGACTTCATTGAGCTATGTGTACTTGGTAAGAAGATTATCTCCAACTGGAATCATCAACTTAGTGAAGGTCAAAGTTTGATTGAAAATGTTCCCTTCATTGAGGCAGCTAGAGGCATTCAACTAGCAAAGAAAACTGATGAATTATTCAAGGTGTGTTTCGGGTATGTGTATGTTGGCACTGGTTCTCAGACTGTGTGTCCATACATGCTTAATTTGTGTATATTTATGGTGTAGCTGATGTGTGAGCGGCCCGAACGGATCATGTAGAGAACAGACTAGTGCGACTACAGTGAGAGTGATGTATGAGTTGCCCTGTAGAGGGGGCGCGTTTAGCGTGGGGTGTGGGTGATGCAGTGTATGTGTTGCAAGATATGTACATGTATAAGTACGGATTTTGTGGTCATAAGAGCTCGGTAATGTATGACGTCTGAGACTAAGTATTTTACAATCATTATTTACAAGGTTGCCATAGTAACCCTAGTTTGAAGACATAGTCTTACATCAAGTGTTTTGTTTGTGGTGAATAATAATATACGTTAGTGAAGCCCCTGAAATCATTTGCCAAACTGACAGGAAAGGACAGCGCTCTAACAACCCAGGCAAACACCAACTACCACAAGTCTGTCGCCAGCAAAGTGACGGAATTCCTTGCTCGAACCCAAGTAGATTCAAAAGATGACATTGGAAGCCTGATCGACAAAAATAGAGAGTCCATAAGGCCAAGCAGTGAAGAGCCTTGTGCTGGTGGAGGATGATGGAAACTTAAGATCACTCCGAAGGATGAGGATTCGTGCTGGGGATACAAAGCTGCAGCACCATGTTACACACGGTCTTGGAAATGCCCAGTATATCAGCCCTGAGATCCAGAACCAAATACTTGAATGTACATTTGAATTACTCAAGGAGAAGATTGTCCATAAGGCTAAGCAGACAGGAGTGTGGAGCATCATCACAGATGAAACAACGGACAGGAAGAAAAGAGAACAGTTAACAATAGCTCTCAGATTAATTTGTAAGACTGAACTGTTCAACACACATCAAGGAAAAGCAAGACATGGGTGAGAGTGCGAGACCCATACTCTAAGATACATGGAATTCATTGAAGAAGTTCTAAAGTATAGTTAATATGAAAATCTCATTTCAAATGACCAGTGCAAAGCTGTAATGTAATTGAACCATGCTTTGAATAAAGTGATATTGAATTGGAACAGCGTTTTCTGCTATAAGCATCCAAGGCGCCTACATGTAGATTGATTTTTTGAATTTTAAAGCAAGTCCGGGACATCTTCATCGACATCTCATCAGATGGGAAAGCAGACTGCCCTAATCAGTTTGAGCAAGAAGCCGAGCAAGAAAGATGTAAGACTACATACTAAATAGAAGTCCAATGAGTGGCATTATGTATAGTTAGCTATCGCTATATTATATCAGCTATTGTTTGAGGATTAAAAATAGTTCTGTCATGTACTTGAGGAAGTGAGAAGTGTTTCCCCGAGCCTCTCTCATCACTGCATTATGTTACACGTGGTACCACGACTTCTCAAAGAGGCGGAAAGGCTAACGCATTGAAGCAGGCTAGGTCGGCTACGCTGACCAGCCCCGAAGCTAGCTTGATATCATCCATACGTACCCTCCTAGATAATCCATGGGACAAAATAGATAGCAGATTGAACTTCATACTTTCCTTTTTCTTTAATACAATTCTTTACAATGGCTTCTGTTAAGGAAGATTGTGTTGTTCTGGTAAAGGGATCGAGTCCTTCAATTACTGAGGACAGTATAAAAAGATTCTCAGAGAAGATTGGGGAAGTGTCCCACTTAACCTGCGAGAGCACCGGTACTGTCTGATTTGTCACTGTGCCTTCGCCAGTAGTTTTGTTTCATGACTCCCCTCTCCGTTCCTGCCAGAGTAGAATAGGTGCCAATGTGAGCAGTTACTAATCCAGACAGTAATAGATCAGAACTAGCGAAGGAACTTAGAGAGATCAAAGAGAAACTAAAAGCGATGAAAATCGGAAGTAGTAATAGAAGTAGTAGTAATAGTAATAAGGAGAACTCTAACAGATCTGCTCGTTCTCGTGGTGACTGGTCCCAGGGGACCAGACAAGTATAAAAGGGTTAGATTCATCAGAGTCTCCTGCTTCAAGTGGCGATGTAGATAAGGTGAGGAATAACCTTAGAAATTATCCACATGCCTTTAGCCAGTCTGATACTGACTTGGGACATAGTAACATAGTGACACATAACATTCCCCGAACGGATCAACAGACATTCCGAGAGAGATATCGTTGTATATCCCCAGCCATGTATGCAGAGGTGCGTGAACATATACGTTCAATGCATGAGGCTGGTGTGATTAGTAGGGAGTCATTTTCACCGTATGCCAGTCCTGTAGTGTTAGTTAGGAAGAAGGATGGATCTTTGAGGTTTTGCATAGCTTTCGAAAGCTTAATTATCGTACAATAAGGGACTCATATGCTTTGCCTAGAATTGATGAAACTCTACAGATGATGCAGGGTGCTACTGTAGATGGTTCAGTTCTCTTGATCTCAATTAAGTCAGGTTTAATACTGGCAGCTAGAAAAAAACGAATGTGACAAACAAAAGGCAATCATATGCTCCCCCTCTCTAAATTAGTATAACAAAACCGTGACTTATTTATTCTTTATCATGCAACTGCTCACTGCACCTGCACTTGCACCGCACCCTCTTGATCACTCAGTTTTTCGAAGAGAGTTATGTCGCCAATTCTTTTTACGAGGCCGCCATCCATCTCCAGCCTAACCGCTCACGACGGTGGTCTCCTGCGTTCCGAATTACCTCTCTAATTTATTGAAAATATTTCATATTTCTTATGTTATTGTATGCTTCGTACATGTTTATCGAATGATATAATTGTACATGATTTTTCATTTAATTACTTTTGTAAACATTGTATTCATTGTATTTGTTATTGTTCGAAATTTTGTACTTTGACTTTGAATTTGTATATTTTTGAACGCAGAAATAAAATCAATCAAACAAATCAAACAAACAAACTTTTGGGCTTCCCCCTCGTCTTGGATTATGGGAGTGCAATCGTATGCCCTTTGGTATCTGTAACACGCTTAATACTTTCGAGCGCGATGGAGAAATGTCTAGGCGAACTCGATCACACTGTGTGCATCGTGTGCATCGTGTGCATTTAGATGATATTAGGGACGTTTAGATTTAGTGGACGAGAACTGCGTGTCAACGTAGTCAACTCCCCCTGTTGACTACAGATAGAAATCTTTCAGATTTCACACAACGATATACGTTGACAGGAAGTAAGCGTGATGAAGTCATGAACAGCGCCAAATTTCAAAGGAGATCCCTTGCAAATGCAAAAATAGGACATTGCTTCTGTCATCGAATTTGACAGCTTATCAGCAGATCAAATCATTGATTTCGCTTTAGATTCATTTAGTTTTCATTGACATTGAATTGTTGACATAGATTTCTGACCCGCCCCCCCTCCCCCCCCCCCCCCTTTTTTCTGAGGGACTCCATCTCTCAACAGATCCTAGCAACTTTTTCTCCGATCCATTTGTAGGTTCAGGAAGGACGATATCCACCGGCTGAAGGGTGTTCTCAACATTCCTGATATTATAACATGCAGGAATGGATCCCGCATTGATGGGTTGGAGTGCCTATGCATCATGCTGGCACGCGTCACATTTCCATGCAGATACGGAGATCTGGTCAAGATGTTTGGAAGGCATGTTCCACTCTTATGTATAATAACATTGCACATAAAAGACCACATTTACAACATTTTCTGTCACCTCTCTGGAATATTTGGAACTTTCCGTAGCATTGTTTCATCTCATCAGTTAATGGCTGAATCAGTACGTCCACTTGAATCAGAAATAGTCTACCGCGCTGTATGTACGTGGCCACGGTACTCACAATTTCTAACTGTAACCTCCCTCTTTCCAAACTTTAATGTCCCATTTATTTAGAATAACAAATTAAGGCTATTAAAGTATATTTTAGTTCAAGATGTATTTTGATATAAATAGATGTTTAAGAAAAGACAGAGACCTGGATTATTGATACTATTTTCATGACATTGTTTGATTATAAATACTGCTGGGAGAGTAATTGATAGTACAGGTCAGTTATCTGTAAATAAATATATATGACACCTGAAATACTAAATGGTGTCCCAGCGTTCTTTTTCTTTGACTTTATTCATTATTTCTATTGACTTCATTTTCAATTGGGGGTCTTTCAGCTGATTCCTCATCAGAGTTGGAACGCCCGCTAGCAGACCATATTTGTGTTCCTTCTCTGTTCCCGAGTTCACTGTTTTTTGCACTGAAGGACGGGAGACAGGGATTAGATATATTTTACACACAAGTTTTCAGTATAATCTACCATTCATAACATTAGTTTAAAGGCCGAGAAACGGGAATCATTCCTCCAAAATAAGAATAGTTAACAACTATGAATTAACATGCAAGCTGTGGGCAGAAGTGCAAGGGCAATTAATGAATTATTCAGACATTCTATTCCCATGAACAAGTAGTCAAAGCTGTTATATGATTTTGGAACTTAGCAGCATAATCCATAAAATTGGAGAGGGGTGATGCATTAGTTGAGAATAGGCAATACTACAGTATAAGTTAAGAGAAAAGGTCGCAAATATTCCATATCGCATATTAAATGTAAATCTTCTGCAATTAGCCATAAGACTTGTGCAGAAATAATATTGTGTGGCACATGGAGATATGCCCGAAAGTTCCTTCAAATAGCCCTGGTTAACTTCTGAAGCAAAGTATTGTTATGTAATGGTAGTACAAGTCTACACCTCCTCAGCAATAGTATATATAATATCACTCAGTACGCCCCAATACAGATAAGACCCACCCTGTGATATACCAGACCTCCTGACCAGAACATTTGTTTACATTCCATTTGACCCTTAGGCATTGCTCCAAAAAGAGTACAGAAAGAAAAGGAAAAATCTAAGTTGTAAGTCATGCAAGGTCCATTGCACAGGGTATTATGTTCAACTCTAAAGAAAAAGTTGGGCGTGATAATTATGACAATGCTCATCAGTTCTCTGATACACACAAAGGACCTGAACTTGCAATTGACAGAAAAAAATAGTAAAATAGTTAACAAATCCATCTTTGTGTAACATACAATGTGCTTGTAAGTTACTATGAATTTTTCAGATACTTGTGATTGAAAGAGATAAGATTAATATTGTTGAGATACAAACGATTGTAACTCTCTATGTTAAAGGACAATAACATTATCAAACAGAACATACATGTACAATATATACGTAAAACAGAAAGAAACATATCTTCCTACATTTTCATTGTCATCGGAAGAGTAATCGCAAATTAAATATTTAACCTGGATTTCTGGCCACCTGGCATGTACAATACGAAGGCTAAACCAGGGGTAATAGTGAGCACTAAAAAAAAAAAGCTGTTCCCCCCCCCCCCCCCCTTTTTAAAATAAAAAAATCAGGAAAACAAATCAGGGGAAAAAAGAGGAAAATCAGGCCTGCTAAACATGAATGATAAACATGAAAAAACGGGCCATTTCATGAAGGAATAGAAGTATGTCAGGAGTCGCTGTCAATCAAAAGATGTCCTGATGATGTCTTGGAGACTTGGTGCCCCGGTAGCAGATGATGTCTTTAAGATGCCTGGATGTCCTTGGTGCCTAAAGACCCCCTTCCCATTGCCCATCTCACCTGCCTGGCTCATCTTCGAAAGCCGAGATCAGATGTGATGCTCCTGACGAGGGTTCGAAGACAATCACAGCATTCTTCCAGAGATGCCAAGTGGACACGGTCATCACAGCATCCTTGCTCCACGAAGGGATGGTGTTGACACTGCTCCTAGTGCGGTCAGGGAGTATCTGCTTCAAGTGCATTTAGATGGTATCTGCAAAGAAAATTGTCAATTCATCTATTAGAATGTTGGCTGTGCAACATTTCTCGAAGATATTACAGGCTCATACTTTATTACACACTCTTTATTTGTTCCCTCACAAATTAATCATCTTCCCTTCTCAACACAAATAAAACTTTAGATGCGAGATCTAACAAACTCGAGCTTGCTTCTGTTTGAGATAGATCTTCATCACATAAACCAGGGTAAGTGGAATCAACTAGACTTACATGTCAGCAACACTGGAGTGGACTGTCCAGGACCTTCCCGTCACGGTCGCTTCTCAGTTGCAACAAGTTGGCAGGAAATCAACTGTTTTTAGGGAAGTGGCCATCTTGAAGAAACTGCAAATCAGAGAAAAAATCCAAACTGAATAGGTTGAAGTCAAAGTTGAGAGTGAAAACCAACCTTTTTAACAGGTTAAACCAGTTGACAAGGTTAAATAAAGGAACTGATTATATCTGTACTGCTGGTTACTTCAATTGTTTGCCATCCTATTTATTAATTTGTAGTTTCACCTTTACAGGGTAACATTGTCAGTTACAAAACTGCTTTCATGATGGCCCTGGTGGCCTATACTATATTCAATATGATTACAGATTGAAATTAAAGCCCCACTGCACTACTTATAGCTACTTGCGCCCTCTATATAGCAAAACAATGCCTAGTTGGTGCCTGCTGGTCCCCCTATGATCCCCTTTTTCTTATGTTAATTGAGAGCTGATTTGATGAGATAACCAACTGTCAGTGACCTTGCAGGGAGGTCTAATCCCCCTGGCCAAATTAGTGCAGACAGGATTTAAAGAAAAATATATTGCTTAGTTCTCTGGTCTATATGTACCTTCCTCAAAGAAACGGGGGTAAATGGATTCCCTCTGCTATGACTTTGGCCTACAGGTTGGCAGTCCAGTCCAGTCTTTCAAAAAAGTGGCGATTCCAATCCTAGTAGTAGTACCAGTTGAAGTCATCTTCATGAAATGGTGGAACAAAGATATTAATAATGACCACAATAACAAAAATACCACTATTAATACAACTCCTAATGATATAGTACTGATAATAATAAAAACAACAATTATCATAATCATTATAATCCTAATAATGGTAACAATACTAATCATGATTAATAGCTACATGTAATATATTGTGCACAGATCCATCCCAATGGAAACCAAAGAAGCCTCAGCAGTTTTAATACTGTTCTCCCTGAGAACCCTGCAATCATGTCCCACCCCCCCCCCCCCCCCCTCAGCCTACCTACATGTACCATATAAAGGCGCTCAAGCATTCAAGGAATTTTTTTCCTTTACAACTACCAGTACCACTACCAGTAACCTGGTAGTGGTACTATACCCATTTGACAGAGCTTGAGTGGCAGCTGGCAAGTGGAGATTAATAACTTGCCAAAGGATTAAAACATTATATTTCTATTCTATTAGCAATCAACTCTCAGATGATAAGTGAAAATTTGAAAATTAAAAAAATATTCACTTGAAATTGAGATCTTTGGTGTGCCATCTTTAATCTTGCATTAACATGATAAATTAACATAATTTAAATCGGTGGAAAGTTTGAACATTTGAACAAATATCCACTAGCTTGAATTGAGATCTTTGGTTTGGTAAATGAAGGTTATGAAGAGAAGTGTATTAATGCAGGGAATCTGGACTGGAATCAAGCCGCTCTCCTTTGACCCCATGCTCCATGCCGCCGAAAAGTTATGCGCTAATCTGCAACTGCTGACCAGGTGGTGAGATAAAAGAGCGCATGAATTTCAGGATTTAGAATTCCTACATCAGAAAATGGTATCAAAGCAACTGTTCGCTGTCCCTTTCAATGATTTCTCATCCATTTTTGAATGTGTAAAGAGTAGAACAAGCGAACACAAACTTGTGTAATTTCATCCTTTTTTAACTTCAAAAACACGCGAAAAAACACGCATTAGCAAACTTAATGTTATCGAAGATTGTAAATCTTGGATCAAATAACGGGACATTGAAACATGCACAAATTAGCGCATTATCCTAAACTATTGAGTTTTTGTCAGGATGTAATTTTTCTTTTAACAACTCTGGCACACAAATTATAGGAAGGACGGAGTTCTAAATTTGGAAATGTGTTTGTTGTGCACTATTCCCAATACAATCCCCATATAAAGTTTTTGATTTACACTCAAATTTTGCAGGTAATTTAATATTTTGTAATAAATGTAAAACTGGTGCCTGACTTCCGAAAGTCCGTGCAGTGGTAGCGCGGTTCGGAGCATGGAACTTCAAAGCCAAGTGGAATGTTACACATCCCATTGAAACGCTTTAGAACTCATGAATGCGTTGAATAAATTACAAGAGTTTCGCCGGCTTAATTCCAGTCCTTCTCTATCAAGTCCCTGATTAATGTAATCCTACCTTTATTGCTACAACTGCTTTCATCCTAAATCATCAGACTTCAGACAGTGAAAAGAGCCCCTTTGGCTCTGCTACGATTCGAGAAGGTTGGCCTTTAACAGTCAGAGTACGTACAGGACAACTTCTAGTCTACCATGACTACCGCTGTACCAGGGAGACAAGCGCATCTTTCCTTGATGAACGATGCTTGGTAGAACTAGAAAGCCAGGTGACACTTCCAAGAAATGCACATCTGCACATGCTGCAATCAAGAACAAGCAGGGTAGGCTAATGAGGAATGAAAAAAAAAATGATAAACTGAGCTGGGATTGGAGTGAGGACTCGGGTGAGTCTGCTGAGAAACAGACGATACGAAAACTAATTGTTTATCGAAATTCATCGTGTTGGAGTTTCCCGGAATTACCGGTAACCTGCACGTGCACGTGCACGTGCGCTGTACAGTAATAACACTTGTCAGCTCAATGGAACTCCAGCTCCAGGGACCCTCCACCGCAGCGGCTGCGGCGAAGCTCCCTCAGGCTCAAGGCTTAATCAATGCAGTTGCATCGTGTAACTGAACGGTCACGATGATTTTCTCTGATTTTCTTGTGAAAACTTTACTTTGAAACGTGATTGTCAAAATACAGTCAACATGACCAGAATAATCACAAAATAAGCTTTGATTTCATACCTCTATTCACGAAAACTATATAACAATCGTGATGGAAATACACTTTTGCTGTGGATTGTAGAAGCGAATCGTCTTGGTCCAGCTGCTTAACCATGAAAACAAAGCTAAGTCGACCATCCAAACGAAATCGACCGTCAAAGACTCGGTCCTTACTCCGTTTCGCAACCGCGGACATTTACGTGTCTCACATTTTAAACTTTACGATAATTAAACAACAATTATAAACAATTACATTTCAAAGTTTATTCAACACTCTTCATAAAACATACAAATACACAATGGAATGCTAAAAAAAAAAAAAGAACTGACAAAACAGTGGCAACTTATGAGAGCATTTGTGAAGGGCAGAAAGGAGGGATTCCTTTTATAAAAGCCTATCCCTAAAGACACACATACTGGAAGAAAAGGAAAAAAAATATCATGATACAATCAGAGTTAAAGACACTAACATCACCATGCAGTGGCGGATCCAGGGGGGGGGGGGGCCGGGGGCCCCGGGCCCCCCCCCCCCCCCCTAGAGAAAAAAAATCATGTAAATCACGTGATTTTTACCTTTTTGGGGGTTGGGCCCCCCCCCCCCTGGCGCTCAAGGGGGGGGGGGGTGCAAATCGAAATTTTTTTTGAGGATCAAAAAAAAAAAAATGTGCTCACTACCCCCCCCCCCCCCCCCCCCCCCCCCCCCCCCCCCCCCCCCCCACTGAACGAATTATTGGCCGACGCGTTTTTCAAATTTTCGGGAGCAAAAAAAAAAAAAAAAAAAAAAAAATTGTGCTCTGTACCCCCCCCCCCCCCCCACTGAGCGACTTTTCGGCCGGCGCGATTTTCAAATTTTCGGGAGCAAAAAAAAAAAAAGTTGGGCCCCCTCCCCTAAGAAATCCTGGATCCGCGCCTGTCACCATGACATCTCTTATTATTCTTTAATTTACTTACAATTTTGACTATGAACAGGGTTTTATTAGGGTTAGCGAGGCAATTCTTCGTAGTGGAGTTATAAACTGCCATGACGAGCTATATAACTTTATGCTCATGAAAAAAGTGCTTTAAACAGGGTTTGTTGCTCTGGCACTGGCGACGCCAATGCGAATGTGATCGGGACGTAAATTAATGCAAAATGTAGAGCTGCCCCTCCCGTACAAGTTGACGAAATTTGCATGGAAAGGCTTTACTATTTGGGGGAGTTATTACCTGTCATAAGGGAAGGGTCGGGGTACGCTGATTAAAACGTATGCTATTAACCGGATTTACTTGGGGTTGACACTGTTTGCGACTTTTGGTTCACGATTACGAATGGGATCGGGACGCAAGTTTTTGGAAATAGGGCTGACTCTCCCCAACTCTTGACGAAATTTACGTGGCAAGGCAATACTGGGGGGGGGGGGGGGGTATTACTCTCTAAAAAAAAATCGATTGATCACGGACGTCACTCCTCTGGAGAGTGAAAATGTAGTGAAAATAGAGTGAACATTCACTCTTTTCTTCTTCTAGAGAGCACTCTAAAATCAATCGATTTTCACTCCTAAACAAGTGATCACGGACGTCACTCCCAAAAAGTGAAAATAGAGTGAAAATTCACTCTCTTTTTTTAAGAGAGTACCTGCCCTGAGGGGCCCGAGGGGGTATGCTGAGATGTATTACAGTGTGCTTTAAAAATGAATTTTCTTGTTTCTCTGGCACTGGCGAAGCGTTACGAATGGGATCGGAGCTGCAATTATTGTGTGAAATGTAGGACTGAGTCTCCCCAACTAGTCGACGAATTGTCATGGCAAGGCGATACTCTCTTTGGAAATTATTAAATGCCATTGGGGAATGGTCGGGGGTATGCTGATTAAAAAGTTTGCTATAAACCGGGTTTTCTTAAAGGGTTAACACGGGGTTAACACTGTTTGCGACTCTTGTTTCTTTGGGATCGGGGAAAATTATTGTTGGAAAATGAAGGAACGAGTCTCATGGCAAGGCGATACTCTCTTTGGAAGTAATTGAAATGCCATGGGGGAAGGTTTGGGGGCATGCTGATGAAAAAGTGTGTTTTATATTATCTGCATGGTTTCTCTAGGGTTTATGCCGTTTGCGACTTTTTTTCCTGGGCCCTGGCCCAGCCATTACAAACGAAAAGACAAGATGGGAGAAGAGAAGACGAGTTGTTGGAGCTCCAACAGTCGACTTGTCCAAAAAAAGTTGACTTTTCTAGTTCAAATAACATTTTCTCATCCTCTCGTTTTCTTGATTGCTGTTTCTTACTAAAAATTGTCGGGAAAAACCACGGTACCTGGCGCACTCCAGAAGTGTCAAGTGCCTTCCCCAGGGTGAGATGTAAACGAGAGGAGTATTCGGAACGTCGGAGTGGTCGGTGTACTTGAACAAATTTAAAGTGTATAACGAGCTAGAATTCAATTAAGAATGCACTAACGTGTCAACCCAGGCTCAAGGTGAGATGGGGTAGTGAATTACAAGCAATTCATTTATTTAGCAATTAACTGACACTATAGCTTTCCTACAGAGAATTCAAGTTTATTCTTATAGATAGCTTTCTCTCTCTTTCTAGACTCTGCGTGTCAACCTCTCTCTCTCTCTTTCTATCTCTGCCTCTATAAATTCTCGTACAATATTTGTAAAATCCCTTTCTATTCTTATTTGATTTTGTACTCTCCCCATCGATCAAGATCACTTAGCTTATCCATGAATGTTAAAGAAATGTATTCTTGGCTATGATCTTCCGTAATCTTCAACCTCGTCCTCTAGCCAATCTTTGGCAAGCCCCCCCCCCCCCCCCCCCCTTAAAAGTGACTCGGCAACATTGCCTCAGATTCTGAAGAAAAAAAATCCTGGATTTAGCTCATGCTGCAATCATAATTATAAGCCTTAAGTTCAGTCAGGAATCCCATGACTTTTACAAGCCGGTCATCTGTCTGATTATCAAGATATTTACGATTGGAAATCGAAATTTCATTTTTGTTTTCCTAACGGTTTTTTATAACTATACAGTCTATTGGGGGGGGGGGATGAGTATGGTAAAAACCGGCCACTCAAATATTTTTGTTTTTTGAGGCACTTCATGATCATTTTGAAGCGCGATTTTGTTGTAGGACTTCAATATTACACCATGATATCACAAACACTGATAACACGTTGGGCCATGCATCTCAGATTTAACATTCTTAGACGATGCCTTTAAATACACATCCGCACAAAACCGCACGCATCCCGAAACACATTCGTGATGTCAATCCATTTTTACTAAATGTAAACTTTTCCCTATTTTCTAGCTAGATTAATGCCCCACCCGTTCATCATTTCGTGTAATCTACCCACTTTGTATAACCCCCTCCGGCCAATATTCGTCATTAATCTCTTCAAATTCTTCCTCCACCTCCCTGTATTGCAATAATTATTTTATCAATATGTTAATATACCCTTCACTACCTATATTCTCTAATCTTAATTCCCTCTTTTCCCCTTCTGTATCCTATTTCTTTCTCCACCCCCCCCCCTCTCTCTATCTCTCTTTCTCTATCTTTCGAGCTCTTTCAAGTGCAAGCTTTTTTTCTTTTTTCTTTTATCTCTCTCTCTCTCTCTCTCTCTCTCTCTTCCTCCCTCTCTCTATTTCTCTATAATATGTTTCTACATCTATCTCTCAAGCAATATTTCTCGCTCTCTCTCTCTCTCTCTCTCTCACTCATTCACTCATTCACACAAACACACACATACCAAACTCACTATCTATCTCAATTGTGACCTCTCCTTTCTTGTCGATACCCGTTCTCTTGTTATAAATAATTTTTATGTTTGCTTTCTCACGCCATGCAAACTCATCACTCTCATACCCGTCACTCCCTTAATTAAAACAAAAAAGTAAATGGAAGAAAAAGCAAAGGAAAAAAAAACAACTGAAAAAAACTTACAGCGCCTCCAATTGCTCTAGCACGACAAATAATATACATGTAACTTGTCTAGCCTAATTACTTCGAAGTAATTAATTGCAAAGGGTACTTGATAACGAATTTAAAGGTCAACCACTTTTACTGATTTCTACTTCATCGGGATGGACTCCGTTGACCTCGCGATCGGGTGGTTCCCGGACCCTGGGAATTTGTCAACAATACAGAGAAGGAAAATAAATGCCGGCTAATTATTCTGCATTATAATTCTTTCAAATGGTTGTTTCGACTTCAAACATTGAAAGTAGAGAATTACTTACGTATGTGAAAGACTGCAATGATTGATCGATAGATTATTGAATAATTAATTAATTGATTAATGATTGAATGATTGCATGATTGAATTTTTGATGATTGATATTGATCGATTAACCGATGAATATTGTAGGCTTCTTCTGAATTATCACAACAGTAATTATAAGACCAATTCTCCTTAATAACGGTCTCTTTGAAAATACTGTATTCGTATTTTTCATGTGAGAAATTACGCGTTAAACATTCACTTGCTTCATTACGTGACGAATTAAGACTTTTCAAAATAATAAATAGTGGTAGATGATCAGTAATATCAATACAAAAAGTACCGCAATGAACACTTGAATCAATAACATTGGTAAAAATATTGTCTATTTTTTGTGTTCCCCTACTCTTCTCCCCCTCTTTTTCCCTCTATAACATCCTCCTTTTTTAAACTCTTTCCTTTCATCATTATTTCTCTACCCTCTCTGTCCATGTTAGGACAGCTTCTGTCTCCTTGTATTCCTACATCCCAGTTGCAGTTTCCCCACCCCCCCCCATCTCTCTCTCTCTCTCTCTCTCTCTCTCTCTCTCACTCACTCTCTCTCTCTCTCTCTCTCTCTCTTTCTCTCTTCCCTTTTCTCTCTTTCTTTCTCTTTCCCAGTTCTTTTCTATTTCATCCATCCTGATTGTACTGTTTATCAATGAATAATAGTTTGATTGTATTATGTTACCATGTTCTACATTATGCATTTAATCAATTGTTGCTGTGTTATTTCACGATTCGGCTTTGCCGCAATGAACGTATTTTAATAAACCATTTTTAATTGATTTTAGTTGAATATTTAAGGTAATTCGGGTTGCAGTTCGTAAAACAGGTAATAAACCAAACAAAGAATTAATACTAAGAAATTAA